TATATCGAAACATCAGACTGTATACACTTTATGTGAAATTTATTGCCTGTCAGTTATACAATAAAACTGTTAAAAATAAAATTTATTTATTTATTTTTATTTTTATTTTTTAAAATTTTTATTTATTTATGATAGTCACACAGGGAGAGAGAGAGAGAGAGGCAGAGACACAGGCAGAGGGAGAAGCAGGCTCCATGCACCGGGAGCCCGACGTGGGATTCGATCCCGGGTCTCTAGGATCATGCCCTGGGCCAAAGGCAGGCGCCAAACCGCTGCGCCACCCAGGGATCCCTAAAAATAAAATTTAATAATGAGACACTGATATGTAATGTTTACTAATTTATTCATTTGTTTGCTTGTCTTTCATTTCAGAATTGTCTTAACTGTGCCAGAAGATAAAAAGAGGAAAGACATAGACTTTCTCTAAGTCTAGTAGAGAAGCCAGGCAATGGTAGTTCTGCTTGATATTCTCATTGGATGTACCCATAGGAAGCTAAGAAAATGTCAAGATTAGTGTGTGTGTGTTGCAGAAGGCTTTTCAGAGGGCCTTGATCCGGACCTGAGCTCTGAAGGTTGAGAAGGTGGATGGAACAGGGAAGATGGGTTGTTTATGGGGCAGTGTCCACAGCTTGCTGTCTTAACCAAGGAGAGAGAGCCTACAGAGAGAACAAGGCCCTGCGCCAAAAATCATAAAGCCACATGATAGCTCAGTTGTTATCAGTTGACAAGTCTGCTTGGTAGCACTTGGGTCCATTTTAATAAAAGCATGACAGCTCTTTCTTTTAATTAACCAACAATACATCAATACCACGCAAAAATAGAAAAGAAAATTTAGGTCTATTTTTCATGGCTTATCTGGTTTATCTTATAGGAATATAAGGGCTTTTCTGAACTATAGAATAGTCCAGAAAAAAAAACAAACAAAACAAAAACATTTAAGTTGTACTGTAGAGAATGAGAGAGAGAGGAAGGTAGGATTGGAAAGAGACCAGTTCTAGGAATTCAGGCAAGGGATCATAAGACTGAACTAAGGCAATAGCAGAAGGAAAAGAAAATGGATCAATTTTAAAATTACTAAAGTGGGGAAAGGACATTTAGCAGTCCCTTTAGCCTAGTTCCAAGTTTTAGTTAAGGTGTCTTCACTTTTTTTCCCCTTCACATTATTAAATGCATCTTCAATGATGAGCACTTAAGATTTTTACTGGAAACCCTCTTTTGTAGAAATTTAGGTCTGTCTCCTCTCCCTGGTGTCTTGAGGAATAATTGGGAGGTCCTTGCTATTCACAGGGATAGAATACAGAGGCGAGTTAAAAACAATTCTTTGACCAATTGATCTTGAACATGTATTAAGGTTTATTGCTAGTAAGATAATCGGAGTGCGGAAATGAGAAATTCTGGTTGAGAAAACAAAGGTATACATCAGCAGCTGGTTTTTTTTTTTTTTTAAATAGCTAGTTAATAAATACAATTTTATTCATAGTCATGAGTTAGGGGCAGACGGGGCTAGGCAGGGAAAGATAAGGGAAAGGCCCCAGAGTCAGGCTCTTACCCATCTCAAGAAAAGGGACACAAGACAGTAAAAACAGAAAAAAATAAACCTGGCTCCCTAGCTCCAACATGTTAGGAGTATCCCCCTTTAATGGCTACTGAGTAATCGCAGAAACTCACCAGACTACAAAGAAATGTCATTAAGGTGTTATCTGATAGTCCCTGCTCAAACCAAGATGGCAATAAGATGGCATCTCAAGGCCAAGGGCTACCTGACTAGGCCCAGAGAAATCCCAGATGTAGGGAAATGTTACCCAGGAAATACTAATCAGAGAGAAGGGAACACCTTGTTTGGGCTCATGATATTTATAAGAACATCTTGTTTGTTATTGTGATAGTTACAAATTCACCATGTTGTTTCTAAATATAGACATGATATTCACAAATCCACCCCGATATTGATGAGAAATCTACCAAGTTCCCTGGTCAGTTTCCTATAAAAGACCATAAAAGGCCTCAGGGGGGCAACCCTCTCGGGACCCCTTTCACCTTTAAGAGCTTTCTCTGTACCTCTGCTTAATAAACTTCTACCTCTTTGCTCACTTTGTTGTCCATGAGATTCAGTCTTCGACTCTGTGAGACAAGAACCAAGCTCTCCCTTATCAATATTAGTTTTTATAGAGGAAATGTAGGGCAGAGGGACTCAGAGAGGCTAGGTGCCTCTCCTTCCTTCTAAAACAAGCACAGCCATTCCTGCAAAAGCAAATGAGAAGGATGCCTCTGGGGTTGGTACCTGGAACAAGGTCTCATCTCCTTCTAAGTAGTTCCTAGAGGTTCCAGTTTGTAGGGAAAGTGGGAAACCCCTCGAACAGGGGGCCGAGATGGAGAACAGAAGCAACAGGCTCTAATTTTGAACACGTGGCTGCCAAATCACTCCCCTAACTGCAGATTCAGGTGCAGAAACCCGATTTGCCTGTTCCTTAGTGGAGGTCAATTTTCTTTCTCCTTTGACACCCCAGAGAGGGTTTTCATGGTCAGGCGCGGAGGCGAGTGGAGTTTGGAATATGTGGAGGGTTGCAAGATGGACACGTGGGTCCAGAACTTGGTGATAAAGGTTGCAAACAGATTTATATTGTAGATCTATGAAAATTAGAAAAGAGAGGACGTCCTTCGGGATTTGAGCTGTCACGGAGGGCTTACGGTGCGTCTGGGTTGCTCGGCGCTGCATGCCTGGTGCCCAGGTGTGCCTAGGGGCTGTGGAGGAATTGCCCCGAGAGGTGCCACTTTGGCTTGTGGATCTTTTTTTTTTTTTTTTTTTTTTTCGTGTGTGTGTGTGTGGATTATTTGGCTTGTGGATCTTTTCTTTCTTTCTTTCTTTCTTTCTTTCTTTCTTTCTTTCTTTCTCTCTCTCTCTCTCTCTCTTTCTTTCTTTCTTTCTTTTTCTGAGCTGAAAACCATCAAGGTATAAAAGACTCAGGGAGAAACTGGCCTCCCCCAACTGCTTAAAATAATTCAAACATGGGACGCCTGGATGGCTCAGCGGATGAGCACCTGCCCTCGGCCCAGGGCGTGATCCTGGGGTCCCGGGATCGAGTCCCACGTCGGGCTCCCTGCGTGGAGCCTGCTTCTCCCTCTGCCTGTGTCTCTAAATAAAAATAAAAAATTTCAACAGAGGGCCTGCTCCAGAAGAGATCTCTCACCATAGGTGACTGCAGTACCGTGGGACGTAGGTGTGACAGGTAGGAGTTTAGCAAAGCCTGACGATCGCTCTCGCCATCCCCTTGCTTCTGTGCGGCCCAGCTCACATTTACTCCCTGTCGTCTTCTGCGAATTACTCTCCTTCCCTTTGAAGAGCCCAACTCCCTTCTCCTTAGTCCAGGATGACATCTAGAGCTCCTCGTCCCCTTCCGTCTCCGCACTGGCGTCCCCCCAGGCACAACATGCAACTCGGGGTTGTTCTGCGGATGTGTTTAAGGTCAATGTAATTCTGCGAGCAGCTGGAAGAAGCTTTGTAGGGTGGAGGAAGGGAAGGGCAACACTGCCCCGTCTCCAAGGCGTGACGGGCACAGAGCAGACGCTCCACAGTTTGACTGGATTTCGCAGGAACCCGAGCTCAGGGTCCCTCCCTTGCTGAGCGACCTCACGCGCCCGGCTCCTCGTCGGGAGGCCCGGCCCCTTTAAGGAAGGTAGGCAAAGGCGGAGAGGCTGCTGGGAAGGGGGGCGGGACCCGCGCTCAGCGCTCCGCACCGGGAGCCCTGCGTCCGCCTCCCCGCGGGGCCGCCGCGCGCCAGGGGCGGCTCTAAAGCATGCCGGGAAAGACGCTCAAAGGCAAGGGCTTAGCTTCCCCGCGCGCTCATAGCCCAGCCTGGGAAGGACAAAAGGACTGCGCCTGCGCCTTTAAGGCGGACTCCCGTTCTCGGAGGGAAATAACGTGGTCACGGACGCGTTTGGAGCTTCCCGCTTTTAACCCGTCCTCTTTCCTCAACAAGGAGCACAGGTACCGAGTGTCCCGCGCCCAGTCCCGGGTTCCCAGAGGATGCTTCACGGGGGCGGGGAGGGGGCGGGAGGCGCCGCGCTAGCCCGCGGGGTGTCCCGAACCACAATCCTATTTGCCGTGTTTTAAAAAAACATTTCAGTTAATTATTTATTTTTACTTATTCATGAGAGAGAGAGAGAGGCAGAGGGAGAAGCAGGCTCCATGCGGGGAGCCCGACGTGGGCCTCGATCCCGCGACCCGGGATCACGCCCTGGGCCACCCGGGCGTCCCTGCTGTGGTTTTGGTTTTGGTTTTACAGGTTTTATTTATGCCTGTGTCTCTCATGAATAAATGCATAAGATCTTTTTTTTTTTTTTTTTAAAAATAAGGGTTTTATTTGAGAACGAGCACTGTGTGGGGAGGGGCAGAGATGGAGGGAGCAGCCGAGTCCCCACTGCATAGGGAACCCCTATGGGACTTGATCCCGGGACCCCGGGGTCATTCTGAGCCGCCCAGGCACCAGCTCCGCTGTGTTTTTGAGCTTAGGCTTCTGCCCTTGAAGCGCAGACCCAGCACTTCCTGACGGGATCAGTCCGGTGAGAGAGAAGCGAGGCTGAGACCCCGGGATCCCGGGGCGTGGCTGGGGGGTGACACCCCCTGAAAATGTAGCCTGAGCTCACACACAGGTGGCCTGACGGGCGTTTAGCCTGCCTTGTGTTCTGATGTATTTCTATATATAAATTAAGTATATTAATATACTAAATATGTAGTACATAATCTTTAGATATGTCACATTTAATTTAAATATATGTTAAGTATTAAATATATATTAACATGTAATTTGACCATATACTGTATTAATACATCAAGTGTACATTGATTTAAATTAAATATATATTGTATAATATACTATAATAATACATATAATGTATTATAATGTATTTATTATATAATTATATGATTTGTATAATTATATATTTGTATAATGTATTATAATGTATATATTATATAATTATATGATTTGTATGATTATATGTATAATTTATATAATTATATATATTTACATAATATATAATTATAATATATATTTAAAGATTTTATCTATTTATTCATGAGAGACACACAGAGACGCAGGCAGAGGGAGAAGCAGGCTCCACGCAGGGAGCCCGACGTGGGACTTGATCCGGAGTCCCCAGGATCACGCCCTGGAGTGAAGGCGGCGCTAAACTGCTGAGCCACCCGGGCTGCCCTGTGTGTTCTGATATTTTAATTGACCGCTTGCATCTACCAAGTGGTTTGTAGGTGCAAGTATCTGGATTATCTTGAGAACTTGCAAGATGTGGCAGCCGTGTGCTTAACCGGGAAGCAGTTCGCTGGCCCCTTTGGTCTGCTCAGAAGCAGGCTCAGGTCGCCAGAGCCGCTCTGTTACAAACAGCCGCATCACTCGTGGGTCAGCCCTCTGGGCCCTGCGAGGCATTTGAGTTTGGGGCCTCTAAATATTTGGGTGGATGGATGTAGGGATATTTAGAACATTTATGCGGAATTGGTCAGAGGTCCCAAATAGTTCAAACTGCTGTTTCTTATTCTTTTTTTTTTTTTTAATCTTTTTTTTAAGATTTTATTTATTTATTCATGAGAGACACACAGAGAGAGGCAGAGACACAGGCAGAGGGAGAAGCAGGCTCCATGCAGGGAGCCCAACGCGGGACTCGATCTTGGGTCTCCAGGATCACGCCCTGGGCTGAAGGCAGATGCTCAAGCACTGAGCCACCGCGGCTGCCCTATTCTTACTCTTATCAAGGTGTTTTTCCTAGTGGAACAAGCCTTTTTGGCCCAGGCTTGGTTAACATGAATCAGGAGATATTTACGGGAAGATGTTTGTGAATTGATATTCTGTAATGACAATTAAATCTGTAAAAATTTCTTTAAAGAAAAAAATTTGAATCTTGATTACCTTGATGTTTTATGCTACAACAACCGTTATTGAAATAGAGGGTACTGAGGATAATTTGTATTATCTTTGTCCACAATTATGGTTTGGTAACCTCCACAACTCTTGGCAAGACTTCATACAGGCAAGAAGCGTGTTTGCCCTGGTAATAGCTCTACCTCACCGCTAGTCAAGGTTCCTGAAGTCGGAGACTTCCTTTATTCACGGTGCCTGCTTAAAAGTAAGTGGTTTATTAAATGTATCTTGTGTGTATGTGAGAAAGGATTTTAAAGGCAAACCTTATTTTATGTAACAGGCATATTTCCGAGGATTTCTCTCAAAATCAAATGCTTGTATATTTGTTCTAAAGTATTAAAAGGCTTTTGTTGTGAAAAAGGCTTGTGTGTGTGTGTTTTTTTTTTTTTTTTTGTTTTGTTTTTTGTTTTTAAAAAGATGTTATTTATTTGAGAGAGGGGAGAGTGAGCGAGCACGCATGAGTAGGGGGAGAGGGAGAAGCACACTTTCCACTGAGCGGGGAGCCTGATGCCAGGGCTCCATCCCAGGACCCTGAGACCATGACCTGAGCTGAAGGCAGCCACTTAACTGACTGAGCCACCCAGGCACCCCAAAAGGCTTCCTTTAAAACGGTTGGATTTTCCTGAGTTGATGTACCAACACTTCCATCTGAAATGGACTTGCACTTGTGAATCCTCTGCTACAGATTTTACACTGCACTATTTTCTTACTACACAATGGGATGTGGAAGTGTCCATGAGCCTTGGGATTTTCAGTATTCTTTCTGTTTTTAGAGACCCACCAATTCCAGTTGAGATCACCGTGGCAGCCAGACCTTTCCTTCCTCACAAGGAGCAGCAGCTCTTATCAACAGCAACATTGACAGAACCTGTGGTTTGGAAAAGGACTCATGGCTTTGAGCCTAGGCTGGAGAACATTTGCACCATTTGCCACGAATCACTGTAGTATCTTTCTGAAAGCAGTGAGGAGTAGTGGTCTTTCCTTGTTTCCCTGGGGCCACTGCCCTTGGAGACAAACTGGCAGCTTTTTGGACCCTGAGATGAAAGCTTTCCTGGAGGAGAACACTGAAGTCACCAGCAGTGGCAGCCTCACCCCTGAAATCCAGTTGCGGCTTTTGACACCCAGATGCAAGTTCTGGTGGCAGAGAGCTGACCTGTGGCCCTATAGCGAACCATACTGGGCAATCTACTGGCCAGGAGGCCAAGCCCTGTCTAGGTACTCTCCTGACTGAAATGGGAAGCCTTAAGGCCCTTCCAGATCTTTTCTGTTTTCTGCAGATTCTTTTTTCAGCCCCTTCCAACTCTATATTCTCCTTTCTCCTCACAAAAAACAAACAGTAAAACCTCAAAGTCTTGTCACATTTGGAGCAGTTTAAGCATACTCCAGGTTTATCAAGCTATTTCCTCAAATACAGTTCTTTAAGAGAAACCCTCGGATTAACTGTCAAGACCCTAGATAGCTGTAAGTGATCTATATTTCACAGTATTGTCTGGTTTATGGTTCATAAGGTATGGCCAGTGCAGTTTCAAGATGGACCCCAAAGCCCCAACCCTTTAGCTCTCCTAGTTTATTTATTTATTTATTTATTTATTTATTTATTTATTTATTTATTTATTAATTTTTATTTATGATAGTCACACACACAGAGAGGCAGAGACACAGGCAGAGGGAGAAGCAGGCTCCATGCACCGGGAGCCCGACGTGGGACTCGATCCCGGGTCTCCAAGATCGCACCCTGGGCCAAAGGCAGGCGCCAAACCGCTGCACCATCCAGGGATCCCTAGCTCTCCTAGTTTAATCTCATAAATGTTGCTCCTTGAGTCTTACACTCCCACCCTTGAGCCTCTTCTCAATCCCAACGAAAAAGAGATGTCAGTGGGCCCCGGCAAGGATTCCCTCTTTAGTGGCTTACTGACATCTCAGGTGAACTCTGGACTTGAATCTGCATTTAAAAAAAAATTTTTTTTTTTTAAGATTTTATTTATTTATTCATAGAGACACAGAGAGAGAGAGAGAGGCAGAGACACAGGCAGAGGGAGAAGCAGGCTCCATGCAGAGAGTCTGACGTGGGACTCGATCCAGGGTCTCCAGGATCACACCCTGGGCTGCAGGCAGCGCTAAACCACTGCGCCACCGGGGCTGCCCTAAAAAAATTTTTTTTAAAGTAAGCTTTATGCCCATCATGGGGCTTTAGGACATTCTCTCACACATTGCACTATGCTTTTTATTGAAACACAGCTGCTGAGACAAAGGCAAGAGTTTTCAGCATTTCAATCTGGTTTTTTGCTCTTAGATTGGTAAATGATTAAATGTGCTTATACCTTGAGGTTATAGAGCTTTGAAAAGGATAAGGAGTTGCAGCAAGGGTATGGCCTAACAAAATTTATGTAGTTTTAAATGCAAAATAAATAAATGCATATATATAGTTTTTCTGGGAACCCTGGAGATGGGAGCTTTCTAGGTATTTTCAAACAATTCTGATTTTCTGGTTGTTGTTGCCAAAGTTTCAAGCTTTATTACTTACATCATATCTCAAAAATACTGACATTTTCAGTGACGTCTATTAAAGTGATTGTTTATCAACTTCAAATATAAATACAATCAAACTCCTTAACAGACTGAATCAGAGGTCACAAGTTGGTGCACCCATATGTTTTGTTTGGCTTTTACTTGTAAACTTAAAACAAAAAATCAGTTTCTAGCATTTAAAACTTGGGAAGGGGATCCCTGGGTGGCGCAGCGGTTTGGCGCCTGCCTTTGGCCCAGGGCGCGATCCTGGAGACCCGGGATCGAATCCCACGTCAGGCTCCCGGTGCATGGAGCCTGCTTCTCCCTCTGCCTGTGTCTCTGCCTCTCTCTCTCTCTGTGACTATCATAAATAAAATAAAAAAAAAAAAATTAAAACTTGGGAAGTTTTAAATGTAAAAATCTCTGATTTGAGGAACAGGAGTATCTGATAACATAGAATTTCTACATGATAGTAGTGAGGTGAAGATGGGTAGCAGCTTTCCCTTGAGACAGGCCACATACACCCCTACTTTGCCATAATCCCGGATATTCTTTACTTTCCCGTAGCTTGCTCAAGTGTCAGTTGACACATTATTTCAGGGTTTTTCATCCATCTGCATTGTTTGATAACTATTTTGCCCTCGTCCAAATTCTTTGGTTGAACTGGACTTTGTGCCTTACCAGAGAGGTTATTGTAACACAAAATAAGCAGTAGGAAAAACACTCTATGATGAATAATCAAAAGGACAGTGAATTTTGGATCTAGCTTACTGAGTCCGTATTATAGCAGCATTCTGTTAGTCTGTATTCTTGGGGCTTGACAGTTTGTGGATCATAGGAAGTGCTCAATATTTTAAAAAGAAATTTTTGAAAAAAAGACATTTTTGGGGGGAGGGTGCTGGCTTAGTCATTAGAGCTTACAGACTTTTGATCTCAGGGTCAGGAGTTCAACCTCCATGTTGGGTGTAGAGCTTAAAAAAGACTTTTTTTTTTAAACCTCTTACTGACCTTCTCCCATCTCAGTGTTTTTTGCTTTCTTTCCAAATTAGGTATCTTTTGGATAATCCTGATGTTGTTAGAGGAAAGTCTGTGTTAGATCTTGGGAGTGGATGTGGAGCTACAGCTATTGCTGCTAAGATGAGTGGGGCATCAAGGATCTTGGCCAACGACATAGACCCTAGTAAGGATTTCATATTTAAAAATATATTTTTTAAAGGTTTTATTTATTTACTTGAGATAGAGAGCAAGGGGGCATGAGCGATGGGACTAAGAGGAAGAGGGAGAAGCAGGCTCCCTGCTGAGCAAGGAGCCCGACCTGGGGCTCAACATGGGGCTCAATCCCAGGACCCCAGGATCATGGCAGACACTTAACCAACTGAATCACCTGACCTGGGTGCCCCACTACTTAAAAATATTTAAAGCTTATCTTTATTCTCTTTTGGGATAATTATCTATAGATGCCTCAATGTGATAGCTTATTTCCATGTGTATTTTGTAATCTGATACTGTGAACTTATTATGTTCAGTGGGACTTTATCTGTGAGGCTCCTATGAAGCCTGAATTGAAGTGCATGTTTCTTAAGAGGATTTGTATTTATGTGTGTACCAACCTGGGAGTGCTTACTGTTAATTTCTGGGCTAGAGATTTCTTGAAATATGTAGGTTGTGTGTATTTGACCCAAAACCCAAGTAAGGATAGGCCTTGTGTTTTTTGTTTTTTTTTTTAAATTTTTATTTATTTATGATAGTCACAGAGAGAGAGAGAGGCAGAGACACAGGCAGAGGGAGAAGCAGGCTCCATGCACCGGGAGCCCGACGTGGGATTCGATCCCGGGTCTCCAGGATCGCGCCCTGGGCCAAAGGCAGGCGCCAAACCGCTGCGCCACCCAGGGATCCCCTAGGCCTTGTGTTTTGAGGGAGATTTTATTCTATTAAACCCCAAGTTGAGACAGGTCAGTTTTAATCTTATCTGATTTTCTTTTACTTTACAGTTTTACTGAGGATCTAGCTCTTGATTATACTTATTTTATTTTTTTAAAGGGGTTGGAGAGGGGGAGAGACAGAATCTTGAGCAGGCTCCACGCCCAGTGCATGAGCTTGACACAGGGCTTGATCTCACAACTCTGAGATCATGATCTGCGCTGATATCAAGAGTCTCATGGTTGATGCTTAATAGACTGAGCCACCCAGGGGTCTCAGTTCTAACTTGCCATGTTGCTCAAGCTCAAGGCTTGATTCCCTGTCTCCTGGACAGCTGTAACAAACCAAACCTCTTGGTTATTAGATCAGCAAATGTTCCTGAAAGCCTCGACGTTTCTAGGTGTTTTGTATTTGTTTTGTTTTCAGGATGTCCACTCATGCATCTGAAAATTGTAGTAAATAGTTTGTATTGGTAGAAACTTCTTTACCGAAAAAACCAGTTTCAACAAAAGGGAAAAAAATATTATTAGGAAATTTTCTAAATTACTTAATGGATTAAAACTGCCTAGCATATACCAATTCATTATGTGCTTTTTAAAGTTGCAGGAATGGCTATCAGACTGAATTGTGAATTGAACCAACTGAATCCTTTTCCAATTTTAACCAAAAACATTTTGGATTTGGAACAAGATAAGTGGGACCTTGTTGTGCTTGGAGATATGTTTTATGATGAGGACCTTGCAGACAGTCTTCATCAATGGCTGAAGAATTGCTTTTGGACCCACAGAACTAGAGTCCTGATTGGTGACCCTGGACGACCCCAATTCAGTGGACATAGCATTCAACATCAGCTACACAAACTGATAGAATATTCACTTCCAGAGCCCACTAGGAGGGAAAACAATGGATTGACAACAAGCACAGTATGGGATTTTCAGCCTTGAGTTATCCAAGTGCTTCCAAGTATGAATATATTATGTTTGGGTTTAACCTTAAAAGACTCTCCAGTTTGAAGCATGTAGTTCTTGTTAAATGGCAAATCTTGTTTCTAAAATATGAAGTCTTAAAGTTTTGTCAGCCTTTGTCATGTAATTTTGTTCTGCATTACATCAAATATACAAATCTCTGCCTGCAGTTTTCTAGTTTTACTGCTGTAGGAATAGAATCCTTGAGGACAATACCAAAATGGTAGCAACATGTAATTCAAGTAGTGGAGAGGAATGAGAAAGTGTAGCGAAGTCTGTTTCAGTAGATGAGGACAACTGTAGGTTGTATCTTTGAATTAGATACAATAAAAAATATAGAAGAATACTGTATGTCAAAAAAGTTACCTGTAAAGATCAAAGAGGCATCAAAGTGCCTCATACAGTATTTAGTACATAATAGGATCTCAACTGGCAGTCCTGGATAAAAATAAAGATTTTAGAATATCCTATATACTGTTACCTTATGATTCATGCCTCTTTATAGCTCACCAAGGTTAGCTAGAAATTGCTTATGCTATCTCGACACGTACCAACTTGTCATGATCATCTATATCAATAAAAACTCTAGGACATAAATGAGAATGTGAAGAAGAATAGGTATAGGACCCTGCTATTTGTATAGGAAAGATATACATATATAGCTACATATGAATATACATATAAAATACATGAGTTGCTTGCAACATACATAGAATGTCCCTGAAAAGATAAATAAGTAACTGAACAGTGGTTGCCTTTTGGGAGGGTACCGGGTAGCTGGTAGACTGGGGTGAGAGAGAGACTTAGGTTTTACCTTTGGGTCTTACTTATGATTTTGTACTAATTATATGTACTGTAAATTTTCTAATCTCTAATTTAAAACTGAATATGAGCATTATATGTGTTGGGAGAAAAATATAAAATGCAGCCTTGCTAATGTCCTCTCATGTTCTTACACACTGCATAGGAATGGTTTACAACATGTGCATCATATATAAACTTTCTAATGCACGCACACCACTGGGATTTGGGTACCAGGGAGATGTGATTACAGTTACAGGTATAGCAGAAATGTGGAGAAAACAGTGAAGGGCAAGTTGTTGCTTAGATAGGAAAAGAGGATAATTAGATGGGAATTTTAGAGCTGAGGCTGCAGAGGATCTTGTGATTCTTGAACTTGGAAGCCAGAGTTTATTCCAGTCCAGGGAAACAACTCTTGTGCATCTAATTCCCATTGGTCTACTGGGTCTTAAACATTATCAGCTCTGAATTTTGATTCAGCCTTGGGTTAAAATTAATAGAAATTATAGACTACACTGGCATTAGGTGATATTTGAGAGGAAAGGGTTTTGTTGACCACGTCCTTTGAAAATTCAGAGTACTCTGTTGGTTATTGCCCTTCTCAGCAAGATAAAGAGAAAATTATATTCTGGAGCACTGTGGAAATCAACTTGATGAAACAAAGAGAAGATTTAAGTTTAAATATCTATTTCTGTTAATGATTTTTCAGGAGGGCACAAGAAGGTCTTTGAGATAATCCAAGTGTTATTTATTTTAAAATCTCCCATGGATATAATGGTGAGCCTTGAATGACTTCATAGTTTAACAACCAGGTTTGTATTAAGACCATTCATGTTTAAAGTGGTTATTGATATAGCTGGATTAATTTCTACCATATTTATAACTATTTCCTATTTGTTGCCCTAGTTCCTTGTTTGTTTTTTGGTGTTCCACTCTTTTCTTTCCTTCTCTGTTATTTATTTATTTGTTTGTTTATTTATTTACTCATGAGAAACACAGGGAGAGAGGCAGAGACCTAGGCAGAGGGAGAAGTAGGCTCCCAAAGGGAGCCTGATGCAGGACCAATCCCAGGACACTCCAGGCTTATGCTCTGAGCCAAAGGCAGATGCTCAACCAAGGAGCCACCCAGGCGTCAGTATTTTATTTATCTATTTATCTATTTATCTATTTATCTATTTATTTATTTATTTATTTATTTATTTATTTATTTATTTATGAGAGACACAGAGAGAGAGGCAGAGACATAGGCAGAGGGAGAAACAGGCTCTTCGCAGGAAGCCCAATGTGGGACTCGATTCTGGGACTCCCAGCTCGAGCCCTGGGCTGAAGGCAGATGCTCAACCCAGGCATCCTCCTTGTCTGGTTTTAATTGAGCATTTTGTGATTCTATTTTCCCTCCTCCCTTAGGATATCAGCTATACATATTTAAAAAATTATGTTTAGTGATTGCTTTAGTATACATTTACCACTAGTCCAAACCCATTTTCAAGTAATACTGTATCACTTCATGATTTTCAGTTCAGCTTTTATATTATGAGAACTGGAGTGATGACTTCTAATCACTTTATAATATCTGACCGAAAATTGGGAGTACGGATATTATTTTTATTTTTCTCCTCTATTTCTTTTGTGTGTTCATTCATTCAACAAATATTGGGTGCTTATTATGTACCAGATACTGTTCTAAGCACTGGGGATATAGCAGTGGGAAAAAAGACAAAAATTTCTGTCTTCATAAACCTTGTATTCTAGGGTAGAGAGATAATTAAAACAGACAAGAAGTCAGGTGGTGATAGATGGTAAGGAGAAAAATAAAGAGATCAAAGTGATAGGTGAGGATGATTAGTGATAGGTAGGACTGGGGTACTGAAATTTTCTTTTCTTTTTATTCATTTACTTCTTGGGGGAGGGTACTGAAATTTTAAACAGAAATAGCTAATACAACCAGCAATATAAAAGGGTAAGAATATTAAACTGCAAAGTGCTTTTAGGAAGATACTCCTTTACAGACCCTAAAAAGCTGACACTTTAGGTCTTGAAAAACTTGTTTCCCAAAAAGGGGGAAAAGCTGCTGACTTTGTTTGATGTTTACTATTATATTTTACTGAATTTGTCTTTAGAAAAATTTCATAGGTGGAACAGGTTTTACCATTTTACACATAGGTACATATGTACCACCTTGGGGCAATATATTATATATCCATACTATACATATACCACATTTATAAAGTAATTAATAGTAAGGTCAAGAAAGAGAGTTGAAGTATAAACCCTCCTTCTGAACAGGTAGAAGAAATTTACTATATCATACTTAACTTCCTTTGTATTGCATCACAGTTAGAATAGGAAATCTTTAAGAAGGTCCCACTGAGACAGGCTCATGGTACAGGGAATATACTGAATTTGGGGTGGTTTAAGCATAGTATACTTGAGAATTTTGTGATTATAAAAGAGTAATACAGTTCATTTGAAAACTAAGATCTATGTTGTTTATTTCACAATATGAAACCAACCAAGCTTTAGGAAGTAGCCTCTATAATGATATTTTGTATTTTTTTTCTTTTTTTTTTTAAAGATTTTATTCATTTATTCATGACAGAGAGAGAGAGAGAGAGGCAGAGACACGGGCAGAGGGAGAAGCAGGCTCCATGCAGGGAGCCCAATGTGGGACTCCATCCCCGGTCTCCAGGATCAGGCCCTGGGCCAAAGATGGCGCTAAACCACTGAGCCACTAGGGCTGCCCCATGTATTTTTCTTTTTAAATTTTATTTATTTATTCATGAGAGAGACAGAGAGGCAGAGACACAGGCAGAGGGAAAAGCAGGTTCCATGAAAGGAACCCGATGTGGGACTCGATGTGGGACTCAATCCTGGGTCTCCAGGATCATGCCCTGGGCTAAAGGTGGCGCCAAACCGCTGAGCCACCTGGACTGTCCAATGATATTTTGTTTTTACTCATTCTTACATGTTCCTGAATGCAGTATTTAAGGAAGAAATTTCATAGATGAATAGCAACTATTTGGGAAAAGTAGCCATAGGAATCAAATAAGTGTCTGGGCAAAGGCCTCTCAGAACAGTTAAGGTGGATGATGTGGGTTTATGACATTAAACTATTATATTTTACTTTATTATTATTTTTTAATTGAAATAATAAATTCTGTGAGGATTTACGGGCCTGATGTTCAGCTTTGCTTTTGGCCAATGAACATTTAAATGCTTATGGAAGGTAGGGGCCAGAAAATAGCAAGGAAGATAATTATGCTTTTAGAGATACTTAGAATTTGCCTAATGGTTATTCATAACGGTAAATTTATCTTACAACAGCTCAAATATGTAGGTAGGAGAAGGAAATCTTCAGGGAAAACCGGTAATTTAAAAGTTTGTTATTTAAGGAGCAAACACAATAGTCCCTGCCCACCTCACCCCCCCCCCCCATACATTAGAGGGCATGCTAGGCTTACCACGTCAAAAACAATGACTCCGCAAACAAACAGGATAATGCACTATTAAAATGTTTAAGAGTCTGTTAACTTCAAAGCAAAAACCACATTATTGGAAAGCCAATCTCTTAAAACCATTGTTTCCTGGGAATGCAGTATGAAGATCATTGCTTTGATAAGCTTCAATAAGCATCAATAAACAGTCCACGTCACTTGCTTTAGTTTGTTTGGGCCTACTAATTGCTCCAGGACTTCTCGTGAATGATCTACAGAAAAAAACAATGACAATCTGTTAATCCGCAATAATCAAAGATACTTAATACGTCTTCAGGTATAAAGTAGGAATGACGATTACTATATCTCATAGAGTTGTTGAAAAGATTAAAGGGTATGATATATAAAGAATCACATACAACTAAAAACAATTAGTGGTAACCCTCCTTATTAGCTGCAGTGCACATACCATAGTAATACTTGTAAAAAAAAAATAGGCATTCATTGTTTTCTCTGTAATTTTGTCTTAATTTCATCAACCAGAGAGTAAAGGTATAATTTCGCCATTAACCTGTAAATAAACTTTCTCAGTGTTCTGGGAAGTAACAGACACACTAACATGAAGAGCTTGAACAGAGTTTAACAAAGCAATTATTTACAAAGGAGTGAGCAGGATTAAAGAAAGCCTATAGGGGTGGTAAGATACAACTTGCCCAAAATGGTTAGGGGGAAGGAGCAGTTACTAGAAGAGGGGAATCTGACCTGTAGGCAAACATCTTCCACATCGTGCAATAGTATTATAAAGCATGATTTTTTAATAGATAACTTAAATGAATTCAATATACTTTAATCTTTAGGGCATTTAGATTCTCTGTTATTCACAATGTATAGTAGTGATTTTAATATGGTTTACATTTCTTTTTTTTTAATTCTTTTTTTTTTAAGATTTTATTTATTTATTCATGAGAGACCAGAGAGAGAGAGAGAGAGAGAGAGAGAGAGAGAGAGAGATAGAGAGAGGCAGAGACACAGGCAGAAGGAGAAGCAGGCTCCATGCAGGGAGCCCGACATGGGACTCGATCCCAGGTCTCCAGGATCATAACCTGGGCTGAAGGTGGCGCTAAACCACTGAGCCACCAGGGCTGCCCTGGTTTACATTTCTTTTGCAAAGTCAATTTTATAGTGTCTTTTAAGAACATGAATTAAAGCAAAAATACCAATAAAATGTTACTACTTTACAAATTATTCATAAGTTTACCAAGCTTGTTTAATAGATACAGCCTATGTTGCATAGACATCAGAGCTCCAAACCAGTCTTGGAAATTTTCTAGTTTAGTGGTTGTTAGTTATGGATTTCACAAACCAATAGAAAAAAAAGTGGGCCCTACATATGGTTCCTAAATTTTATTTTAAACTAAACAAAAATAAGCCAAAATACCAAGACGTAGTGCAAGCAAGAGAAACAGAATGTATGGAAATGAGAAGTAATTACAATTAAAAAAACAAAGGTTTATTTACATCAACAACTAATTTTCAAAAACAGCTCATAAGAGAACAAATGCAGTTTTGTGATAATATATCCTTTATTATAGAAGAAATCCATTATATAGGATTTCAATTTTTTTTTTTGATTTCTAAATCAAAGAGAGGTTTCAATTAGGTTGAAAGTAAAAGCACAAAGATATATCATGAAAACCGTAACTATAACAAAGCTAGAATGGCTATACTAATAGCAGATATGGGGAGTACTTCCTAACTCATTCTATGAGACCAGTATTACCCTGATGCTAAAGCCAAATAAAGACGTCATACACATACAAAGCAACAGACCAGTATCTCTTAGGAATATGTACTCAAAAATCCTCAACAATACACTAGCAAGTCAAATCTAGCAACATATAGAAAAGCTCCTATGCCATGATCAACTGAGATTTATCCCAGGAATGAAAGGTTGTTTTAACATCTGAAAATCAATTAATGTAATACACTGTATTTCTTTCCCATTGCTACTTTAATAAATTACTACAGCCTTATTGGCTTAAAGCAACACAAATTTATTATTATATAGTTTGGAGGTCAGAATTCCAAATTAGGTCTCATTGGGCTAAAATAAATCAGCATTCCTTTTTGGAGGCTCAAGGAAGAGAATTCACCTCCTTGACTTTTCCAGCTTCTAGAGGCTACCACATTCCTGGCATTCCTCCTCCATGTTCAAAATGAACAACAGTAGCTAGAGTCCTTCTCAGACTGCCTTCTCTAGGATTTTCCTTTTGCTTGCCTCCTTCCCTTATAAAGACCCTCATGGGGATGCCTGGGTGGCTCAGCGGTTAAGCGGTTAAGCGTCTGCCTTTGGCTCAGGGCCTGATCCCGAATTCCCAGGATGGAGTCCCACATCCGGCTCCTTGCATGGAGCCTACTTCTCCTCCCTCTGCCTGTGTCTCTGCCTCTCTTCCTGTGACTCTCATGAATAAATAAATAAAATCTTAAAAAAAAAAAAAGACCCTTATGATTACCCTGGGCCCACCTGGATAATTCAGGATAATCTCCCTGTTTTAAGGTCAACTGATTAGCAACTTTAGTTCCATATGCAACCCTATATAACATATTCAGGTTCTAAACATTTTTGGGTGGGGGCATTATTCTGCCTATGACATATACCATATCAATAAAGGACAAAAACCACATAATCATCTCAATAGACACAGAAAAAGCATTTGAGGGCACCTGGGTGGCTCAGTGGTTGAGCGTCTGCCTTTGGCTCAGGTCTTGATCCCATTGTCCGGGGATCAAGCCCCACATCGGGCTCCCTGCAGGGAGCCTGCTTCTCCCTCTGCCTGTGTCTCTGCCTCTCTCTCTGTCTCTCCTTAATAAATAAATAAAATCTTAAAAAAAAAGAAAAGAAAAGAAAAAGCATTTGACAACACTCATGATTAAAACATTCAGCAAATGAGGAGTAGAAGGGCAGTTCCTCAACTTAATAAAGAGTATCTATGAAAGAACTAAAGTTTTTTTTTTTTTTTTTAGAACTAAAGTTTTAAGATTATACTTAATATTGAAAGATTAATGTTTTCCCCCTAGGATGAGAAATAAGGCAAGAATGTCTGCTCTTTCCACTGCATCTTTTTTTTTTCTTTTTAAAGACTTATTTATTTATTTATTTGAGAAAGAGCACGTGTGAGAACACTAGTAGCCAGGAGTGTCAGAGAGGTAAGGAGAAAGAGATTCCACCCTGAGCAGAAAGTCTGACTCAGGGCTCAATCCCAGGACCCTGGGATCATAACCCAAGCCAATGGCAGCCGCTAAACTTGGTGGCAGCCAAGCCACCCAGGTGCCCCTGCTTTTTCCCCTTCTATTCAACATTGCATTGGAGGTTCCAGCCAAGGAAATTAGGGAAGGAAAAGAGATAAAAGGCATTCATGTTAGAAAGAAGTAAAACTATCTGTATTTGTACATACATATAAAATGTCTGTATATATAATGTTCCAACGGATCCACTAGAAGATTAGAATAAATGAGTTCAATAAGGCTTCACAGTACACGATCGATATACAAAAGTCAAACGTATTTATACACTAGCAATGAAAAATCCAAAAATGAAATTAAGAAAAGAATTATGTTTATGTTACCATCAAAAATAATAAAATACTTAGGGATATATTTAATAAAAGAACTGGAAAACAGTCTGAGAACTATTAAGCATTGTTGAAAGAAATTCAAGATCTAAAGAAATGGAAAGACATCTGTGTTCATAGGTCAGAAGATAATATTAATATGGCAATATTCCCTAAATTGATTGCAGATGCAATTCAATCTCTCTCAGAATCCCGGTTGTCTATCTCTTTTTTTTCAGAAATTGACAAGATGATCCTAATATGTATGTGGGATTCTAGGGATCCAGAACTAATACAATTTTAAAAAGAAGAATACAATTGGAAATTTATACTTCCCAATTTCATTTTATTTTAATTTTTTTATTTTTAAAATATTTTATTTATTTATTCTTGAGAGACACAGAGAGAAAGAGAGAGGAAGAGACACAGGCAGAGGGAGAAGCAGGCTCCATGCAGGGAGCCCGATGTGGGACTCGATCCCAGGTTTCCAGGATCACGCCCTGGGTCGAAGGTGGTGCTAAACCCCTGAGCCACCCGGGCTGCCCCCAATTTCATTTTAATTGGTGTTTTCAGGATTATTTTGACATTTTTACTAATTATGAACATGTTATCAAACATTACAAATACATATTTGTTTCCAACTTTACTTGTGTCATCCTTCTGTAGAAATCAATTATTGCACATGAATAGGATATTTTTCCCTCCAATAAACCATACAGTATATATATATATTTTTCCATACAGTATATTTTTATGTAATTTTAAAATTCTGTAATGTAATACTGCTAGTTGGCAGTATTACATTACTCAAAGTCTTGTCAGGCACCCTTTTCCTGAGAAATGCTGAGTAGTTAGGACTGAGTTTGAGTAGTAGGAATAATCAATGCTCCAAAGAGAAACTGTGGGTTCTCTAAGGATTTGGTGATCCCTTGCCAGAACAGTGTAGAAACTGTAGGAGAAGAAAAATAATTTTCCTTCTATCTTTCTGAGTTCTTGGCTGAGACCACCCTGTAATAAAAGATAGATTAATCAGAGAAAAACAAACACCTTATCAATATGTATACCTCATATATGCATGAGAGATACCCAGGGAAAATGAGAAACACTCAGAGATGGCCCTAGCTACAACCTTAAGTACCATCTTCGGCTAAAGACAAAAGAAAGATATTCTTTTGTGGGTGGGTAGGGGTGGGAAGGCCAATTACAGGAGGTTACTAGACATAGCACAGTAAAAAGTAAAAGATAAGGTTTACTATATAGATTTATGTTGGTGTCTTTGCCATTGATAAGATTCTCTTGTGATTTAGAGGCACCCATTTATTCCTAGTATATAGAGGGAGATACTTACAAATGGAGATTTTTCTTTATAAATGCAAAATTCTCTTAAAAAGGGTAACTTCTCCATATTCAGAACTCCTCTAGCGTCTGCTGTTTCTCAAAAATAATCAGGTCAAAAAAGTCCTTATCCTGAAGAAAGCATATTTTGGGGTGGCATATTGTGGCACCCTTCCAAACACAGATTCTCAAGATTGAAAAAGACTCAAAACATCATCAATACCAATCACACTGCTGTTGCTTGATGTCACGCTCCTTTTTCCCTCCCTTTTCTAGGAATAGTTAAGCCACTTGACATCAATGGCTCAGGAAATTGTTCCACTAGG